CCATAGCAGTCCCTGCGTGCCCCGCGAAACTAGCCTAGCATCTAGCACTCCATTTCATCGTTTGCGTGCTAGTTTCTTTCGTGTACCATATCGGAACCATGCAAACCGATTGCACAAAGATACTTGAGATGAGCAACAAGCATGTAAAGGTACTTGTTGGGGTCAGCGTTTAGTACGAAGACGACCTCGATTAGACTATCTAACGCAAGCGGCGTCTTGGTCCGCAAGGCATTTATGCTAGCATCAATTGTGTGTCGAGCACTGATTTTGCTGTGCAGCAGACAGCTACACCTGCAACAAGATAAATGATCGATAGCCACAATCCAGCGATTCATAGTGTTTGTATTTTTTCTGACACCTCGGCGAAAGCACACAGTATGATGAGCTCTCATTGATTTTCAGACCAAGGGTGAGAAGATATTTAGTCACAATCCCTCCAAACCTCAAGCTGTGGAATTTCAGCCCAAGAGAATAAGTGTCTCGCTCACAAACTTAATATTTGAAGAATTCGAAGTATACTTGCATTTTTGAGGGCGCAGTGTGCTGAATTGTAGGTGCTCTCGTGTGAATAACAGCAATCATTAGTGTAGCAATGGAACTCCCTGAAAATAGCCCTTTTTCAAAAAAATATTCACCTGCTTCCGCCTTTCTCGATGACCATTTTCTCACACAAATGTCTTTTCCGAGTTATTGTTCATTGTGTGCGCTTCCCCTCAACAGAATGATAGTGATGAAAAGCGAGTATATTAATCAAATGTTCTGTGCCACATGAGGATCTCGCGTTTCACTTGCTGTGACTTCTGCGTTTGCTACGATTTAGTCAATATTGCATGATTCTCCGTAACGTGTACTGATGTCCCATGGGCCGTAACGTTCACACATAAAACATGAATGTAAGATAACAAAAATGCATGCACAGGGTGCACTGCCTGCAAGTTGAGCTACGCCTTGACCAGAGAATGATATCTTCTCGCTCTGCTGACTGCACACAAGTATTTGATCTAACCTGGCTCAAACGGAGACCATTTCATTCGCCTCGATCGTACATGCTATCAAGCGTTATCAAGGCATTCCCATGGGCTTTTAGACGCCGTGAATGTATAGCAGTGCAAAACGGTCTTTATAAACAGGGGAAGAACCGCTGAATATTCATTGCCGTAGCCAAGGACTCCTTTCCATCGAAGTACGCGTGAAGACTAAACTAAGCACATGCATCAGTGAACTACGCATGTCATTTCTGGCTAAGTATAAAAGTCTTGAATACGAATTTGCTATTGGCCTGGAAGATGTTTGCGAACTGACAGCATAAGCATGCAACACAGACAAGATCTAACCAAAAACGTTCGCCGCAGCTGTCTGACAGCAAAATTCATCGCACTTTCAGGCAAACCTCCACTTCTCAGGTAATGTAGGAAACATTGGAATATTGGAATAGGTGACATGCTCACCTTCATTTTACTGGTTCATCTGCTACAAATCCCTCGTGCCACTCAAGAACGCTTTCGCGCAACAGAGAAAGCCACATCTATTCCTTGAGCGAGATTTTCTTACAGAATTGTGCACCATCGCAATGTAATCTTGCGCATGCATCAACGCTTTAAATAGACATACTGTCCAAAGCCCCGACTTTCAAGTACGCATTTCAGCTCACGAATCTTTGGCAGATTTATGCGTGGAAACAGCTAAACCTCTCATCTCTCAAACATAAATAATTGCAAGAGGACGCGAAAAAGCAGCTTATGAGCGCTACCTCCTTGCAGCGCGTCTGGTTCTGGCAAAACCACGGCATACCACAGCACACAACATCTGGTACCGCAATATCTCCAGGTCTCGCCTGGAAGAGAACCTGAATAACATGATTTCGCTATATCGTCTCGGTTTCTCTCAATCTGTGGTTCCCCAAATTGAAAACGAGCAAATCAAGACAATGCCAACAGTCACAGGATTTCCGGATAAAACGTTATCAAGTGGTACACGGACGTCTCGGTTGCGCAAATGCACTCAGAGCCTCGATAGCGCGATCTCCACACGCCCCACTATCTTGCACTTGTGCTACGCTGTCCAAGCAGCCACGCTCAAACCTACGACAGCATAATCCAGGCTCGTCGTCTGCGCGCTCAGTAGACCAATCATTCACCCAGACAAACGCTCCGTCTCAGCATCGCCCTCGACGCGTGCTTCAACATTTCCATGTCAAAACTCAAGCCAGTGCAAACACAAGCCAAAGTGCGCAATGCGCGCCTACAGCGGGCATGCTTACAATACACTGTCAAGGCCCTGTCAGTATGGCATATCTACTTATATCCTTAAACACGAAAAATAAATATTTCCCTGCTCGTGCCACCTCCTCGATTCCAATTTGACCGTACAGCGACTGTAAACCCACATCCTGTCCGCCGTAATCAACCACAAAGAGTTTCAGGACAGCCTACACTCAGCGGTCGAAGGCCACATGCAAAAAATGCCGCCATCGGCACAACAAACTTATGAACTGCTACGTCAAACCAACTGAATTCGCAGCAGCGATATCGAATTAAGGCAGTTCTATCGAGCATGAGGCGAATCACGCACTTTTCGAACACTCTACGAACGCCTGTGCAAGCTGCCTGAACAGAACCTGCACACATGCCGCCTCACCAACCAAGATGCAAATACCATTCAATGCATGCAATCTCAAGAGATCCAATAACCTCTACACAACATTTCGCACAGTAACGCCCACGTGACATGTCGTGTGAACCTCATAGGTCCCTCGTAGAGCCAGTGTAAACAAAAGCCAGGGTGCACGGTGCACGCTTCTAGTGTGGAAGCGTGCGGTACACATTTAAAGCCCGGTCAATATCGCATGTGCCCTCTTGTACCCAAAGAAGGTACATAAACACTCTCCTGAGCGCGCCGCCTCTATTATCTCAATGCGATAATGTAACGACCGCAGACCCACATCCTGCCCACCACAATAAATTGCAAGCGGCTTCACCACAAGCAAAAAATGCCGTCATCGGCACAGCAAATGGAGGCAAACTCTAGTCCATACTTTTGCGCCGTTGTCTTCCCGCTACTCGCCAATTGCTCCAGCTTTGCAGCTAATTTTGCAGCAGCGATATGAAATCAACGACTTTCTACTGATGATGCTGAGAATTCCCAACTTTACCAACACTCTACGAACGCCCGCGCAAACTGCAGCAGAAGAGTCTGCACATATGACGCTTCACCAACCATATACAAAAGCCATTTGTTACACGCAACCACGAAAGGCGTACTAATCCTTAAGCACCTTTTCGGAAAGTTAGGGCCATGCGACAAGTCTCGCGGATTTTATGCGTCCCCTGTAGAGCCAGTGTAAAGGCAAGCCAAAATGTACAGTGCGCCGCTGCAGCGAGCAAGCGTGCGTTACACGCTCGGCGCCATGGTAATGCCGCATGTTTTCATGTCCTTAAAAGAACTAGACACTCTCATGCTCGCGCTGGGTCCACGACTCTTATTTTACAGTATGACAACCGCAGACCCACATCCTGCCCATCAGCATTAAGTACAGACGGCTTCACAACATCTTACACCGAGCCATCGAAGGCAAGACGCCAAAAATTGCGTAATCGACAGAGCAAAAATAAACAAATTCTCGTCCAGGCTTTTGCGATGCTTTAGTCACCTTTACTAACAAACTGCTCTAGTGAAACCACCGAATTTGCGGCAGTGATATTGAATCAACACATTTAGACTCCTTACTCTGCGAACGATCCACTCCTACAACACTTTACAAATGCGCGCGCAAAGCGCATCTGGGCGCAGTCAACGTTCGTACAATAAGAGCATTTCGAAATGTCACGCCACCTTCATAAGAGCATTATAGAGCCAGTGCAAATACAAGCCAAAACGCACAGCACGCGCTTGCAAAAAGCATGCTTGCATTGCGCTTGCATACATTTTCGAGGCCCTGTCACTATCCCATGGCAAGACATGTCCTCAAACAAAAGCGAGTGTACACTTTCCAGCTTTCGCCACCACAAGGACTCCGATGCAGCCCTGCCGCGAGCACAGACCTCATAGCTGTTCTCCAGAATCAACTGCAAATGGCTTCACAACAACCTTTACCCAGGCACAAATGCCACATGCAAGAATCGCCATCATCGACAAAAAATATGCAAACCTCTTCTCCCAGAGTGTGTAGTATCAGGTGCCAAACAAGCGTTCTGCGTCTGAGACGCCCGAAATGCGCCGAACAAATATTTGGCATATCCGTTCATATTCCGCAGCCTGCGAACGCGTCACTCCTCCAACACTCCATGAATGCCTGCCCAAACTGCAGCAGCAGAGCCTACACTCATGAAGCCTCACCAAACAAATATAAAGAAGATTTGTCACACACAAATATTATATATATAATATTGCCCTTGCGAAGCTACCCAAGCATACACGCACAAGCCTTCGGCGACCTTATCCTGGCTCCCCGTCTGCAAGCTCAACAGACCAATCATTCCCCCAGACAAACGCTCAGCCTAAGCATTGCCCTCCATGCGTGCCTCAGTATTTTCGTTTCAAAACACTAGCCACTGCACGCACAAGCCAGACTGCGCAGTGCGCGCTTGCAGAGAGCACGCGGCCGATACACGTTCGGTGCCATGCCAGTGCCGCGTATGTGCTTGTGTCTTCCACCTCGCGCCCCCTCATTGACCAAGATGCAGCCGTGTCGTGACTGTAGACGCACTTCCTGTTCGCCAGAATCAACTGCAAATGGCCTCACAATAGCGTACGCACAGCCACGAAAGGCCAGGTGCAGAAATTGCCATCATCGACAAAAAATGTTCAAACGAACTCTGGTCCCAGCATGTGCCAGAGTGTCAGGTGCCGAACAAGCTTTCTGTGTGCCAGACACCCCGAAAAGCGCCGAGCAAATAGTTTTCCAATGGATTCATAAACCTCATGCCGCGAATATGTCAGTCCTCTAGCACTCCACGGACGCCTGCGCAAACTGGAGCAGCAGAGCCTGCACTCATGACGCCTCATAAGCGCTTCTCTCCTCGCACCGCCTCGTCGTCTCCGATGCAACCGTGTTGCGACCGCAGACCCACTTCCTGTTCGCCAGAATCAACTGCAAATGGCTTCACAACAGCCTATACGCAGCAAAGGAAGGCCACGTATCAAACCACCTGATACCGACAAAAAATGTGCAAACGAACTCTCGTCCCTGCATGTGCCATACCGTGAGGTGCGAAACAAGTTTCCTGCGTCCCGACACCCTAAAATGTGCCGAAGAAACGCTTGGCAAATTCATTCATATTCCGTATGTCGAGAACAAGTCACTCCTGTAACAACCTACGAATGCCCGCGCAAACTGGAGCAGCATATCCCGCACTCATGACGCCTCATAAGCGCTTCTCTCCTCGCACCGCCTTGTCTACTCCGATGCAACCGTGTCGCTACGGCAGACCCACTAGCTGTTCGCCAGAATCAACTGCAGATGGCTTCACTACAGCATGCAACCAGCCACAAAAGGCTACACACAGGAGTTGTCGCCATCGACAAAAACCGTCCAAGCGAGCGCCTGTGCGTGCATCTATTATAGTGTCAGGTGCCAAACACGCTTTCCGCATCTCAGACACCCGAAAATGCGCCGAACAAATAATTGACATATGCGTTCATGTTCCGCATCCCGCGCACACCTCACTCCTGCAACAGCCTACGAGCGCCTGCACAAACTGGAACGGCAGAGCCTGTACTCATGACGCCTCACCAAACAAATACAAAGAGCAGTTGTCACACGCAACCATGAAAGGCCCATTCACCTCTAAACAACGCTTCCCGAAGTAACGGCCATGCGACATGTGACACGGCCTCCATACGTCCCTCCTATCCAAATGCCATTCGCTATTGCCAACCAGCTCCAAGTCCCTGCCCCTTCGTTTCTTTGCACCACCGATGACACGCAGCAACTAGCGACTCAGCTCCGTGGCGCTAAAGACCCTCAGTGCACGGGCTGTATTGCCGCATCCACCCAGCCACCGAACCACAACACGCGCACAACACACTATGCATACCACATATTCGCATTCAGCACTTGACCGCCCGCCTCGCTGGCCCCCTATACCTGCTTCCAACGCAAAATCATCTTCACTAGAAACCCGCATCCACGGCCTTGCTGCACAGAAACGCCGACACGTGATGACAGCTTCTCCGCATGCGCCAATCTCTTGCCCTTGCGAAGCTACCCAAGCAGCCAAGCCCAGGCCTCCGGCGACCTTATCCTGGCTCCCCGTCTGCGAGCTCAACAGACCAATCATTCCCCCAGACAAACGCTCAACCTAAGCATTGCCCTCCACGCGTGCCTCAGTATTTTCGTCTCAAAACACTAGCCACTGCACGCACAAGCCAGACTGCGCAGTGCGCGCTTGCAGAGAGCACGCGGCCGATACAAGTTCGGCGCCATGCCAGTGCCGCGTATGCACTTGTGTTCGCGACCATTTAGCTAACGCGCTTTCCTGCTCGCGCCCCCTCATCGACTAAGATGCACCCGCGTCGCGACTGCAAACACACTTCCTGTTCCCCATAATCAACTGCAAAGGGATCCACAACAGCCTGCACCCAGCCACGCAAGGTCACATGCAGAAATTGCCGTCATCGAAGGAAAATGTGCAAGCAAAGGTTGGTCCTTGTAGTCACATCATTGCTTAGCGCCCAACGAATTCTCTGCACCCCAGAGACCCAAAAATGCGCCGAACAAATATTTAACATATGCGTTCATATTCCGCACCCTGCGAACACGTCGCTCCTTTAACAGCCTGCGAACGCCTGCACAAACTGCAGCGGCTGAACCTGCACTCATGATGCTTCATGCACGCCTCCCTCCGCGCACCACCTCATCGACTAAGACGCAACCCTCGCGACCGCAAACACACTCTCTGTTCGCCAGATTCGACTGCAAAAGCCTCCAAAAGAGCATACACCTAGCAAAGGAAGGCCACATACCAAAACAACATTCACCGACAAGAAGTGTGCAAAGGAACTCTCGTCCCTGCATGTGCCATAGTGTCAGGTGCCAAACACGCTTTCCGCATCTCAGACACCCGAAAATGCGCCGAACAAATAATTGACATATGCGTTCATGTTCCGCATCCCGCGAACACCTCACTCCTGCAACAGCCTACGAGCGCCTGCACAAACTGGAACGGCAGAGCCTGTACTCATGACGCCTCACCAAACAAATACAAAGAGCAGTTGTCACACGCAACCATGAAAGGCCCATTCACCTCTAAACAACGCTTCCCGAAGTAACGGCCATGCGACATGTGACACGGCCTCCATACGTCCCTCCTATCCAAATGCCATTCGCTATTGCCAACCAGCTCCAAGTCCCTGCCCCTTCGTTTCTTTGCACCACCGATGACACGCAGCAACTAGCGACTCAGCTCCGTGGCGCTAAAGACCCTCAGTGCACGGGCTGTATTGCCGCATCCACCCAGCCACCGAACCACTTGTGCGCGTGTTGTGTGA